GAGAGAGAGAGAGAGAGAGAGAGAGAGAGAGAGAGAGAGAGAGAGAGAGAGAGAGAGAGAGAGAGAGAGAGAGAGATCATGCAGCTGTTCGTGTATACTCTTATGTTGGTTCATACAAGAGAAAAGGCAAGCGGGCTTTATCTGTGCACGTCTATTTTTCATTTCTCTCTTTATCTTTATCTTATTTCATACTCGTAGTTGCTTGGTTTTCTTCTTCCGCTTCACGTTGGTTCTGACATGCATATGTAATTCCACTTCTTGGGCAACATCTGCCGGCGTGCCACATGGCACGCGACGGCAGAAGATAGGAGGAAAGGGGAGGGAGGAGGTGGAGGAAGATGAGAAAGGAGGAGGGAGGAGGAGGGAGGGGGTGGAGGAAGATGAGAAAGGAGGAGGGAGGAGGAGGAAGGAGGTGGAGGAAGTGGAGAAGGAGGCGGAGGAGGGAGGAGGACGGAGGAGGAGGGAGAAGGATGAGTGGAGGCGGAAGGAGGAGGATAAGGAGGGAGGATGATGATGGGGACTAGAACAATAACGAAAAAAAATGCATGCTGATATGCCACGTAGCACGTACCGGAGGCGAAAGGATGGAGAGGGGAGGAGGACGAGGACGAGGAGGAGGGAGGAGAAAGGAGGGGAGGAGGACGGGGGGAGACGAGGAGGAAGGAGATGGATGATGAGGACAAGGAAAAAAAAGGCCTGTCACGACAGGAGGAAGGAGGAGGAGGGAGGAGGAGGAGGAGGAGGAGGCGGAGGACGGTAAGAATCACAAGATGAAAACAAAAGATCGCATGCTACAGAGGAGGAAGGAGGTTGAAGGAGGAGGGAGGAGAGAGAGAACGAGAGAGAGGAGGAGGGAGAGACCGAGGGAGGGAGGGAGGGAGGGAGGGAGGGAGGGGAGGCGAACCGAATCATGCCCTTGGTGTGTTCCTTTCGCTTTTTTTGGTAATCTGTATTCGAACTTGGGTTTGTATTCTTTCTTTTTTCTTTTTGATGATTTGTAAAGGGTGACGGCTTTTTTTTTTTTTTTTTTTGTAAGGCTAATTCTGTAAGCCCAACCAATTCAATTACCTGTCAAATCTGGACAGGACGGCCTTTCAGGCCTTTTTTATTGTCATTATGACGGCTTGAGATATTATTGTTGGGAATTTCATTGAGTTATTCCTGTCTCCATTCGAGGTCTCGGCTGCGTTTCGATTTTCAGCAGTTCATGGGTGCACAGACTGAGCTACGCGCGTCGGTTGGGGTATTTCAACAGATGAGTGGAGGCGAGGAGAAAGGAGGATGAGTAGGAGGGAGGATGATGATGATGATGAGGATGAGAACATGGACAAATAGAACCGCGTGCTGCACGTCGGCTGGGGTGTTTGAACAGATGGGTGGAGACCAAGAGAAAGGAGGATGAGTAGGACGGAGGATGATGAGGAGGAGGAGAGCAATGACAAAAAGAACCGCGTGCTGTTGTGCCATGTGGCGGGGAGGCGAACGGAGGAAGGAGGGAGGAGGAGGAAGGAAGGAGGGCGAGGGAGAGGAGGAAGGAGGAGGACAGGGTTGGATGACGATGACGAGAATAAAATAAAAAAAAATCACGTGCCGGTGTGCCACGTGGGACGTGACGGGAGGAGAGAGGGGAGGAGGCAAAAGGGAGGTGGAGCAGGATGGAGGAGGGAGGAGCAGGAAGGAGGATGAGGGGGAGGGATGATGATGATTAGGACAAGAACAATTACATAAAAAAATGCGTGCCGGTGTGCCACTAGGCACGTGACGGGAGGCAAAAGGAGGAGAAGCGAGGAGGGAGGAGGACGAGGGGAGAGGAGGAGGAAGGAGGAAAGAGGAGGCGAGGTTGATGACGAGGACGAGAAAAAAAACGGTGCGCCACGACAGGAGGAGAGCGGGGGAGGGAGGAGGAAGGAGGAGGAGGGAGGGGGAGGAGGAGGAGGAGGACGGCAAGAATCACAAGGTGAAAAACAGAAATCGCACAGCGGTTCCCATGCAAGGGGGATGATGGGGAGGCTGCAGGGCGGGAGCTGGAACTTGGGATCCTCGCGAAGAGGGAGAGCCGTGTAGTGTGCAACACGCACGCGCTCTGGATTCGGGGGGGGGCGGGGAGAGAGAGAGAGAGAGAGAGAGAGAGAGAGAGAGAG